GAATTGCAGTATTTAATAGACATTCACATTGATATTTAAAATGGCAAATTTGGTAGGCATTTGTCTCCAGAGATGTGGAGTGCTTCTCACTGCGGCAAACGTTCTGAGTGTATCAGTAAGAAGAACAAAAACGAGTTTTAAATATTATGCAGTGGAAACACTAAATAGCGGCGTGCAATTTAGAAGGAAGAAGATTGCGATGACGTAAGGTATATGTTTCTAATAACTTGGTTTCAGCTTGCACGGACTGCTGATACCAGGTTAAGATTGTGTCAGATGGGAATGTTCAAACTCAATTACTTTCCTTCTTGCATACTCCTTTTTTTACTGATTTTACTTAACTTAGCTCGACTGCTGCGTTTGGAAATCAAAACCATACCTGTTATGATTAGTAACAGCTAAAATATAGGTGATTTCAACTTAAAATATAAATAGGTGGTTCTAAGAAAGCTTTGGGATTATACGTAAGGATGGAAGAAAAAAGTCGTTTATCCACATATGGAAGAAGGTATGTGGGGGCCTATTTCAAAAAAGATCTAAATATGAGAGAGAAGGAAAACGTATGTTCCTAATTTGGTTTCATTTGGTGGGTTGTTTTTTTTATATATATAAAAATAATGATGGGACATTTTGTCTTTTATTTTCATTTATTGTATTTCTCACTTTCTTAGCATATTCTCCATTACTTGTGCTCCATTTTTCTTTTTTAGCCCTCCTTCTCCTTAGACTTCTAGGCTGCTGTCCAGTTGATTCTCATTTCTGAGTTCACCAGATCTTTTTGTACCAACTGGACATTTCAGAGGCTGGAATGTCAGCTTATTTCACTTACAGATATTACACTGCCAAGCAGAATGATGTGAGAGGAGACAAAAATGGTAGAAAGAGAGAGGAGGCATATTTACAAGCTCAGTAGTGTAAGTGGAAAAACATACTGAGGCAAATTGCATTTTCGGAGCAAATACTAACGTGTACAGAAATCTATACGCGTCGTGCAGACAAAGAGAAGTCAGAAAGCAAAGCGAGTAAGCGGTGCCATTCTGACAGGGCCTTGACACTTCTCATGTTATAGATAAAAAAAACAGGGTCAAAGCTTTGTGGAAAGTAGTGTAAACGGAACATGGTCTGGAAAAATACTTCGGAAACCCACTGTCATAATAGGATAGCGATTCATTTTTCTTCTAGTTTCAGTCTTGCAGCTAAGCAGGTTTCAGTGTCAAGTAAATTTAATTAAAAGGTAATTTCTGTCATTTTGGCTTGTGCTTTCACATGTGCTTCTATAATGCTCAAGGCTACATTAGGATGAAATATAAGCTTGCGTGTTTATATATATATATATGAAAATCTGCGTTGTATATTGCTTCTGATGAGAAACAAGT